AACATCGGTCGCATATTGTATGGAATCAGGTGTTATGGGGAGTATTCCTACAGTTCCTGTTCGGGCTGTTTATCCTTCGCTGGTCTTTCGGGAAACAAGTGTTTGAGTGCATCGGCGATAAAGTCACGACTTTCCTCGACTTCACGGACTCGGGCTCTGGGTTTGTCTTCTCGTATTTAGTGTCCGGCAAATTGGAGGGAAATGTAACCGAGAATGGCCAGTCCACTACATTGCACCTACCTACTCAGGCTTCCGTATTTGCATTCAAAGTATAACTGACTTATAATTATATCAATATTGTTATTATTACTACAGTATTATTGTGTTTAGTTGTGATAAATACTAGTGTTTGTCTTTGAGGTGATGCCAGTCGTCATATTCTTCAGTTTCTTCGTATCCATTCTGTACTTCTATGGAGTGATGCAAATACTGGTGCAGAAAGTTGGCTGGTTTTTGCAGGTGACAGTCGGCACCACTGCCTGTGAATCACTGAATGCATCCGGAAATATATTTCTCGGAATGGTATCTATTTGCTAATTATCATCAAAATTTAAAGTCTAATGACAACTGTCTGTCACTCAGACGGAGGCGCCTCTTATGATAAAACCTTTTTTGTCGGCAATGACTAAATCGGAATTACATGCCGTTATGACGGGAGGGTTCGCCACAATTGCCGGCTCAGTGATGGCCGCGTATATAAACTTCGGGGTCAGTGCCAGTCATTTGATATCTGCGAGTGTGATGTCGGCGCCGGCGGCCCTCGGCTTCTCTAAACTCTTTTATCCGGAAACAGAGGAAAGCAAAACGACAAACAAAAACATAGACATCGGAAAGAGGTTTAAGAAAAATGCCATAATATTGATGTATTTTATATGAATATTTTGGTCACTAGTACTGAACGAAATGCATTGGAGGCCGGCTCTAACGGCGCCTGTATTGCTGTCAAGTGAGTGCTCTAATTCATACACCAGTTACATAACCATCAGTTAAATGCAAATTCAGAAGTGATCCAAATCATAGTTATTGAGAAATATCTGCGAAAATATGTTATTACCATTTAAATTATTTTATTTTAAAAACCCTTTATTAAAGAAAAATAAACAATTAATAGGAAATGTTTACTTATTTTCTAAAAACACTAATTTTTGTCATGTTTTCCTCAGACTCTGTGGCAATATAATCGCCAATTTGATTGATTGCATTCCTGGCTTTCATAGCATTTCTCGATTCACTTATTTCATGGTTTGGATCGTTAGTGAATTACGAAGAATTAAACTTTAAGGTAAACTAGATTTCAACTCTTCATTAGCTAATGTTTATTCATTTGTAATTATTGTTATTAGCAATGAATATGTAATTTCATAATTACGTCAAGTTAGCGAAAGTGTGATAATTAATTGTAAATATAATTCATTCATAAACTTAATGCTCAATATCTCATAAACAACTTGTGTTTTGACGCAAATCGCTTATCAGTTAAAAATATGATTTCATAAGCACTGGCATCATATCCCATGATAACTATGATGTGGGTGCCTAACCGGGCCCTAACCGGTGCCATATCTTACACAAACTTTATTTATAATTTAAGATAAATTAATATAATTTAAGAATAATATTTCGCAATCATTTGAAACACCATTTAAATGGAAAACTTTTGTCATATGAACCCAAATGAGGAAATTTTGGTTCAAATTCTAGATAC